GAATCGGTTCCAAAACGTCATTTAAGAGAACAAACTATCACTCTCGCGGTGAAAGACTCTTAAACCCTTAACCGAGTGGTTCAGACATTTCTACAAACACTTCTGATGCGAGATATGTCTCAGATCTGAACCTCAAGTGATGTGCTTGGATCCAGCTTAGAGATCTCGTCGGTTAAGGAATGAAACATGCAAGACTAGACACCTAAACCCATTAATCCACCTTGAAAGCACCCTAATCTACCTATCTAAAGCCGCTTAAACGACTACTCACTGATCATAACGAGCTCACTAAGTCCTTTGCAAGACGTGTAGCTAGTCATGATAAGGAGTTTGATGTTGGATGATAAAAGAAATAAAGAAAGAACAAGATTCTGATGCAAAAACGAGATATCGGATTAGATTAATCAAGTTTCACGAAAGAGGCAAGTTCTTAGAGCTAAAAACAGATAAGAGATAAGATAACTAGGTTTTTAGTCTCAAAATGTATTTATAGCAAAGGGAAAGTGTCGCGGGTCAGCCCGGAACAAACCGGGTACTGAACCGCCTTCTTGGGTTGATGGGAGAGTGCCACGGTGTGTCGGAAAGTGAAGCTGAGGTCTTCATGTCGAGGCGTGCACGTGAGCAAGGATCCAGATGAAGATCTCGTGAAGAACACGTCAAGAACATGCATGAACCCTAGTCTTTGATCTATCCTCACGTGTATGTTCTTAAGCCATTCTGTTCTTGATTCTGGGTTCGTGACAAGGGACCTCGGGATAAAATGTCGAGGGGTCATGATGTCGAGGTGCTTGGGAGAACACAGTCCGGCATGCACGCCGAGGTCATTACACCGAGGTGTACTTTCAACACTTAGTCGTTTCCAGCTTCAGTTCTTACGTATGCATGCCTCGATCTAACCATGCCAAGGCTTTGGCACGAGGTCTAGTCCAGAATACTTCCAAGATATGAGCCTCGACTTGAGTGATGCCAAGGTAAAGATACCCAGGCTTGTGAGAATACTTAGCGCATATCGCAACTCTTTTAGGCTTGTATCGACCATGTCACCTTCCGGAAGCAGTAACTTTCAGCACACGACTCCAATTGCTCTGGGACCAGTTCCAAAGTCAAGATGACTCAATAATCTCGAACTTTGGTGAAGAAACCATCGGAGCTTGGGGAGTGGAAGGCTTCCTGGATTTAACATCTTTGCGCCGCATTGAAATCACCGGAAAATAGACTTTTAGACCGATGTGAACTCCGGAGACCCTATCTTCCAAACCTTTGCTCCGAATTGAGCGATTCCAAATGCTCTGAGAATATCTTCCATGGATCTCGAACTTTGGTGAAGACCGGGTAAGCTGGTTCGGTCTGGAGGGGCTCCGTCCGCCTTGATCTTTGAAGTTCGCCGTTCAGTTCTCGGGTACGCGCAATGCTGGTGAATGCTCCGGAAGCCATATCTTTCTCTCCACTGGTCCGAATTGGATGATTCTAACTGTTCTGGAATCTTTGCTTGATTATCTCCAACTTTGGTGAAGACCCCGCCAACTGATTCGTACCGGAAGGTTCCCCGGATTGCTGATCTCTGAATTGCGCGGGCAAGGACAACTTTTGGTCGTAAAAACCTTCCCGCGGTAAGAAAAATGGCCGAGGGCTGTGTACCGCGGTAAGCTTTTTGGTCGTAAAAATTCTTGCCTCGGTCAAAAACTTGTCCCGTGGTATTTTGCACTCGATACTCGATTCTAGCCGATCGGTAAGGTTTTTGGCCGGTAATGAGCGTCTGGTAAACATTTTGGCCGAGGTTTCCGACCAGCTGGTACGAGATTTGGCCGAGAAATTCCTCCAAGCGGTTTTCACCATTTTTGACCCTTTTCTTCACCGTTTTCTTTTCTGTTCCTCTTCTTAGGCTCCAATTGGTCTCCAAAGCTCCTGATAAAGACTTCAAAACATGCAAAACTCTTTGGGACCTAATGCAAGCCCTAAGTCCTATTTTAACGCCTAAAGACTCAATTTACATGAGAAAACACATGATGAGGACTCTATAATGCAATCTAAATGATGTAAAATATAGACATATCACTAACTCCTCGGTACATCAAGATCGAGGCATGCAAGAGAAGTGAAGCTGAATATGACTAAGTGTTGAACGTGAACCAGATCAAGGCATTGCATGCCGAGGTCCCTTGTCACGAAACCAGATTCAAGAACAAAGTGACTTGGAGAACACACGTGAAGATGGATTGAAGACTAGGGTTTATGCATGTTCTTGACGTGTTCTTCATGAGATCTTCACCTTGATCTTTGCTCACGTGCACCCCTCGGCATCAAGACCTCGGCTTCACTCTCACACACCGTGGTGCTCACTCATTACCCGGTTTGTTCCAGGCTGACCCACGACACTTACCCTTCAATATAAATAGATTTTTGGACCAGAAACCTAAGGATCTTTTATCTTATCTTATTTCCTGCCTGTTTTAGATTTAAGAACTTGCCTCTTTTGTGAAACTTGATTAATCTAATCCGATATCTCGTTTTCACGTAAGAAATCTTGTTGTTGTTTATTTCTTTTATTCTCCACCATCAAACTCCTTATCATGACTAGCTACACGTCTTGCAAAGGACTTAGTGAGCTCGTTATGATCAGGTAGATTAGGGTGCTTTCATGATAGATTAGTGAGTTTAGGGGTCTAGTCTTGCATGTTTCATTCTTTACCTGACGAGATCTCTAAGCTGGATCCAAGCACATCACTTGTGGTTCAGATCTGAGACATATCTCGCATCAAAAGTGTTCGTAGAAATGTTTGAACCAATCGGTTAAAGGTTTAAGAGTCTTTCATCGCAAGAGTGATAGTTTGTTCTTTTAAATGACTTATTGAACTGGATCTTAAAGCTGACTGATTCATGCTTCTCAAAAGGGATTTTGGTATGAAAGAGGATCAGTTTAGATGTTTAATACTTTCATGAGAAGATTAACATATTTTGAGTTCATGTTAAATGAAACCGCTTGATAATACTGATTCATTAACTTGCTAGTCTAGCTTGGAAGCACCCGAGTCTTTTATCCTTTCTAATGCTTCTGCCTTTATCATATATCATCATCATCCGATTATTTGCTAGTTTATTTATCATCATTTGCATCTTCACCTAGTTTAAATATCATCTTTATTTCATTTTCATGTTTGTTTGCTTGCCTAGTAGATTAGCTAAAAACTCTTGCTTGATCATCTTGACTTAAGATCACAAGTAACATAGACTAGTGCCTCACACACAAGTTTGGATTGATAACCCCTTGTACTACAAGACAGGGGATTGATAACCTCTACAAAGAGCCTTTAAAACTCTTAGTTATCAATTCCATGCGGGTCAGAGCCAGTTGGCTAACATTGGGCTCTGATACAAATTGTGAGACCCCGCTCCCGTCTTCACTTCCGAAAACAAGACGGACCGACTATCAAATCCATGAGACTCCGATCTCGCCTTTCATCTGGATTGGCTATCAACTCCTAACGTCCCAAACGCTCTTTTCAGTGACTCCAACGCCTTCTTTCTACGCCCATTGGCCCACCACTGTCCGACGGTCGGTGCGTTAGTCCAGGCTACTCGTAGGTCTCCCATCCTGAAATTGCTCTAGCTTTAAGCACGCTTAACTCTGGAGTTCTCTCAAGACACTTGACCGGAAAAATATAAATGCACTTTGATGACATAGGTAGCCAAATCAATTCTTATAAACCTTTCCACATGTACTAGAAATCGGGATGTTACACTTAGGCCTAAAAACAGAGAGTTCTGGCTTTTTCTTCTCTTAATCAGTCACTTGTTTCTGAGGGTGGACTCAGCCCTCCAAAATGCCATCAGGTTGAGGTATTAACTCATTATTAGAGCGAATCATTGCAAGCTGATTTTTGTGAAATAGAAATGATCTCTAGTCGTGAACCTCATACTTTTTCTTTCCTGATTTGGATTGAACGGTATCAGTGGCTTCCCAATATACAAGATTTTTTTCCCTTGGTCGCTCAGCTTCTGATCATGAGCATGATCCTTCTTTGAGGCCGGAAGGTGTTGATTCTCAGGTGAGTGGAGTTCACCGCGACATTATTCACAGTCCTATATATTAATTATTCAAGATCAGAATGCGAGTGTGTTTATTGCCAGCCATTACCGCCAGGGTTCTTCTGATCTCCTCAAGCTTGACGAGTTTTCTGAGGTGGGGTACCATCGATGTCTATATACCGAGTCAAAAAACTGTTATACCCATTAGCTTTTTTTCTTTATTTGAATTTTATATAAAATTTGAACATTTTGAAAGTGAAAAATGAATAACTCCAGTACTCTTCTCTTTCACTTATCCTTCAGAGAGAGAGACGATTTTCTAGTATCGATCTAAAATCAGATTTTACTAGTTTTGGGTTTTTTGTTGTTTATATTCCAACTAGGTTCGGATTTCCCTTTGTGTAATCCGATGGTGTTCAGATCTTTCTTCCTCTCATGTCCTCACTTGTTTTAATCAGCTTTCCGGTTATCCCGAATTAGCTTTATCCCACTAAAATGTTGGGTGGTTTCTCTCTTCAATACCTTTTTTTTTTGCTCAATGGTAAATATTTCATTAAAAATGAAAAATGTTTGGTGTTACAAAATGAATCAACAAATTGCTCAACCAAAAGATTGGTCCCATGCCAAAAAAGAATAAAAAACATGGAAGCAAATTCCATCAATACTAAGATAGACCCCAAAGTTTTGAAGCAATGGAGTCAAATCAGTAGTGATATAGAGCCTGAGAACTCGAGGCAAGACAAAAACCGAAAAATATGAACGAAAGGAGAAAAACAAGAAGACAGGCTGAAGAAAAGTCTAAAAACCATATTGGAAGCTGTTTCATCCGGCAGCCGAAGAGAAAACTATTCCTCAAAGGAGTCAGAGGCCCGAAAATTGACAGTCCTCAACATCACGCTTCGACGCTCAACTGTTAAACCTTGATCCAGTAATCAAAAGGGACTACACTAACTATCGGAACTCAGAAGCGCTTAATGCTCAAGCCAAGATCCTCCCGATATCGGCAAGCAGATCAAACGACAACAAGTTCAAAAAGCCTTACTACCTCCTCCGCAAGCAAGAAATACAAAACACAAACCAGACTAAAAGCAATCTCAAAGTCGCCACACAGAACAGAGCACCTATACCAAAACGAGAAGACAAGCAAAACTTCCCTGGGGAAGAGGAGACGCTGCACCCGAAGACAAAGCAGGAGACAACTGGAGCAAACACCATACCGGCGGAGCTCTGAAAACCACCACCTATGCACCAGAAGATCAACCGTTCACAACCTGCCACACCGAGCCGACGAACAAGGATTAAAGGTCGAAATAACAGCGAGGAAAGAACCCGCCACCACCGCCGCTGCTAGCACGAAACAAAGACAGAGGGAAAATCGAAATCCTAATCCCGTTGGAGAAGCTGTCCTCGGCAACTCGCAGGGGAAGAAGAATCAATTATCTCAGAGGAAGAGAAACCGCAGCTACAGAGCAGGAGCCAAATCAAAGGCAAAGGAAGCACCGGAGAAACCCAAAGAGGGCAAAGATGAGCCGCGGAAGCTTCAACCCACAGCCAGTCGCCGTCCTCACGCGATGACCGGAGTAAGAAGACACCAAATGCTCGCCGCAGAATACCAGCCAAAGAACCACCGCTGCCAAAGAAGCTCGACGAGACTCTCGCCACAGAGAACAACCAAAAACCACCACCGGCCAACAGAATTGCCGGGATGAACAACCACAAGCAAAGAAACATGGTGGGGTCCCTTTGCCGGCGACGGTGAGAGAACACGCGCGCCGGCAAGGGAGATCGGATGAATTTAGTCTTGGCGGCTAGGGTATTATCGAAGGAAAAAATGGCCTCTCAAAGGCTCTCTTCCATACTTATTCTTGATTCCTTTTTTTTGGGGAGTAGTCAATCTACGCTTCCTAGATAGGCCTAAGTTGGCTAAAGCGAAGTCTGATAAACTCGTTGTTTTGGTTTAGCGTGTTTTGCAGCTAATTCAACTGAAGTTTTATGTTCTTCTTAGACCAGGTGGTCAGGTGAAGTTCCATTCTGATACACCCTAAACCGGGAAACCCCTGTTTAATAGCTTGACTTGCACACCACGCCAAATTTATCTTTCAAAACAACACCTGAAAGGGAAAAGAGGAGTGAGTATTTTGAAGATACTCAGTGAGAACGATCCTACCTGCCCACTTGATCTATACGAAGAATTAAACATAACCACATATATGTCTACTTAACCTAATATTAGACAAACAATAATCATAAATCTTTCACAAGTACACAGAAACCTAGCACACAAGTTCCCACTCACGAGAACGTCACACTGTTTAAATCTGGTGACTCGTCAGCCACAAATCTCACAGGCCTGTCAGCCCCTGTACTGGCCATACTTCTTCTGTGTATAGTCCAGCCATGGTCCCACTACGCGAAACGTCCTTCGTGATACCAGCTAGAAATCCATCCATAGGCCGGGATCAATCATGCGCTCTTACGCGCCTAGACTAACAGCAATCAACAATACATACAACAGTTCTCAAAGAATCATACATGTTCATTTTATCTCTAATTCAAGTTTCAGCACACACATATACCACTATGTCTAAGACAACATATAGATCCACAAGTCCCGCCACACCTTTGCCACTGGATGATGAATAACAAATATGATTCACCTTCGGCCATATTTGACATCCAACAGAAAAAGATGGCATATAGATCGCCTTCTGAAGCTTCCTAGCATTAGAGATTGATGGTATATAGATCGCCTTCTGAAACAAATCGGCTGCTTGCGGATCACACCTTTGCATATATGACTCGGGAAAACACTCATAACTTTTAGAAGACAACTACAAATAATGATCCGTTGGCGTCTATAACCTTACTAAGTTTCATGCCGATCTGATCTGATTTGACCAACTGATTATCTCTCACGCCAAAACACATCGGGTTAGCCTTCTAGATTACTGCAGTGGCTTCTCCTTCGAGCTGTTTTGATGGTGGCTTCTCAAGCGTGACTCCGGCATGGCTTAGCTGCTCTGATCTTTCTGTCTCCTCTCTGCCACGAGCTCCATCTATTTATAGAGTGAAAGAGAGAACCCTAGGTCTGATCGCAGAAAGTCGGAATTGCCCTTAGTGAGATTCTTGGGATGTCACACATTCAACTCTGGCGGAAAAATCTGAAGGGGAGGATTTGATGTAACCCGTGTATACCACATGTCATAATTTTTTTATGACTTAAAGCGTTGGAGTGGCTTCAATCTACTGTAATTCTTACCCTTGTTGGGTTTTAAACGCATTGATCGACAAAAAAAAAATATCTACACTGTTCATTTAGAGAGGTTTATTGGTAGATAAATTTATAAAAATTGTGAGATCTCTATATTATTATTAAAGTAGACATTTCAAAATATGAATTTTATTTTGTAAATTATTACATGAAATGTCATTAAAATTAACAAAAAATAATTAAAATAAAAAAGATATAATTCTTTTTCAAAAATATTAAAAAAGTATCGAAAATCATTGTTTCTCATTTAATAGAGTATATTTAATATTTAAATTTTGAATAAAATAATATGATATTTTATATATTTTTTGTTTCAGATGATATCATGTAGTATAGTTAATTAAAAAAACATGAAAAAAAGTTTTTTTTTCAATTGAAACAATGTGAAAAGTCAATATTAAAAGTTATCCTGATATTATTAAAGCATAAGTCACTTCACCAATAATAAAGTGACATGTGGCAGAGCAACAGAGTTTTTTTTTAAACGATAGAAAAAAAATTATATAAAAAAATTTCAAATCATAAATCCCAAAATTTTCTCCCTCAATTCCAGGATCTCATGACATCTAACTTCACCATCTCTGAACGGTTTCTACTTCCTCTTTAAAATACTCACAAACTACCATTGTCGATCATATCATGCTTTTCAATGTTTTAGGTCTCTCTCTATTTTCTTCTTCATTCACTTTTATGAAAATCACCTATTTTGTTTGTTTGTTGAGTCCATAAAATTTCTGACCAATATCGTTCACTGTTTTGACCGAAACAATAGAGAAAGGTCAAGATGAAGCTTGGCATCAGAAAAAGGACGTTGATGAAAAAGAGAACATCTCAGTCAATGATGAGGAGGATGGCGAAGAGAGCAAGTACAAGGAGCGTTATGATGCAGGAAGATGCTGATATTCTCTCTAGAAAGCTATCAAGGTAATAATAAAACACTCCTCCAATTCTCCTTTTCGTTAATGGCCTCTTAAGAGTTACGTTTTGTGAGACAAGAGAGGACAACCTTGGACGCTGAGTCACATTCTATCAATTAGAAGCGTGCTTAGAAGAAACGGCTGGAATGCTTAGAAGAAAGCACCCGTTTGCGTCAAGCCAACTCTGTTTCTAACCAGCGTGAGATACAGAGAAGTAAAATGAGGGACAAAATTGAAGACAAATTGAAAAGGGTAATATATACGAGAATATTACCATTTGATGTACTTTTTCAAACTGTAATTGCCAAAAAAACACTTTTTAGAAATGAGGTACGTATCTTTTTTTGCTCCCATTTTTTTACTTTTTTGTCCTTCTTTTTCTTTTTCCTTCTATTTACCTACATAAAAACATTAAAACATACGAGACTCACTTAAATTCACTCATCAGCTTCCACACACTAAATCGTATGGGACTCACCTTAATTCATCACCTTCCACACACTAAATCGCACGGGTGATAACACCGTATTTTGACCACTTTTATGGATCATAATTGTATCTTATGCAGGTGTTTTAACTCTGTTTTCAAATGTTTTTAAAGTGTTTTCAATATTTTAGAGTTTCAAAAGACTTTACAGGAAACTTGAGCAAAAGATATGCAATTTGCAACAAATGAGCAACTTTGGATAAATGCTGACCGTCAGAAGTATGACAAGCGATGAAGACCTTCTCACTGTCTGATCACCCCCAAAATTTGAGACAACATAGAGGATCCAACCAGCTTTCTAATGCACTTGGTTTGGAGACAATCCAACGGTTAGATCTTTAGATACTCCTGATGCAAGAATGACAGAAAATGCAGTTCCGGAAGAGAGCAGGTGCCGGGACCGCGGCCAACACCCAATTTCCCGCGGGTAGAGCCACCGCGACCGAGGACTTTGGTCGTTCACTTTCCCGACGAGTTAATTAAAGCTCAGATCAATTCCTTTCGTTATTTTTGAAGCCCTAAGTGTCCAGGACCACCCCAGAAGCTATAAATACCCTCTTTAGGTCATTCTAAAGAGGCAGAGACGAATAGAGACCGAAACTTAGACAACTTAGAGAGAGAGAGAGAGAGGGATTTCGGCTGGAACCCTAGAGGAGGCCGCCACATCAGAAGAAGGAGCCGCCGCTGGAGGAAGACATCGCGCCTCCATCTGCTTCTCCGTTCTTCGTTCTTCTTCCTTCTTTTCTTTAGTTTCCTGCACCTTCAATTTCGTTTATGATGCTTTGTTACAATATGTTTGAGTAGTTACCCAGTTGGGTTTAAAGGGATTGTTCAAAGGGAATTTCATGTGTCTTTGCTTATGAATCGATAGATTTAGGATTTATAATCTTCTAGATGTTCTTCGTTTGCCTTTAATCTTATTGCGTGATTCTTTGCTGGCCACTTAGAATCCGATCTGACATGATATGTTGCGAAAGTTTTCATTGATTGTCTGAACTAGGGTGAAACGAGCAATTCTTCTATAGGATTGGAAACCTACCTGTAGTTGAGTTGTGAATATTGATGAGTCTTGTTCTGCTATTGCATCTTCTCCCTTCCAGAATCAGAGTGGAAACCTACTGATTAGGGTTGCGAGAGATAGTTGTTTAGTGCTGCGAAAGTAGGCTATTCATACTTCCGTGCCTCGAGTTCTAGAACATACGTAGTTGATTACCTTTATCACTTGTTTAAAATCGACCTAGCATAGACAATGTACCCCTGCGAAATACCCTTGAGCCCCAACGTTTGTCTTTAATTATTTACAGCCTTGTAGTTTCAATCGATTTTTACCTTCAATTCTATTTGCTTTTATTCGCTTTTACTTGCTTCAATTCGCCTCTTGTTTAATTGCTTACTACTTGTCTTACTTGCTTTCGTTTTTCAATTGCTTTTTACTTGCTTTCTAGTTTAGATTTAGTGACAACCAAAAACCCAAAACCAAAACCAAAACCCTTTTAGTTATAATCTGATTTAAGCGTTGCAGTGAATTCGTACTGAAACAACTAAGTCTCTGCGGATCGATACCCTAAGTATTACAGCGCACATCTGTGCACTTGCAGACATTTAGGGGTTATAAATTTAAAACCTGAAGCTTAGTAAAACGAAAACAACAAACCCCGCGTTTACACCCGCATCAAGTTTTTGGCGCCGTTGCCGGGGACTTGTATTTGTTTCGTTGCGAATCCCAGCTTAAATCCATTAGAACACTTGTTTATTTTTACTTTTTCTTTTGAATTTTTCAGGTTTCTCTGCGATGAGAGACCGGAAACATGTTCCCGGGACTCTTGGTGATCCACCAAATCGTGTGGATGGTGATCCAAGCGATGATGACCTGACTGATGATGAGTTTGAAGAACCGATCTATGATGACAATGAGCTAATCGGATCGGTCAAACACAAAGATGATGAAGAACTGATTGGAAGTTTCGATTCACTCGAAAAATTAATGGGAGATCGAAGAGCTATTCAACCAGCCTTACCAAAGGATGGCAAAAC